ACTACAACTACTACTACTACTACTACTACTACTACTACTACTACTAACGACAAACAACGACGACGAACTACGACTACGACCACGACTACGACTACGACTAACGACAATTGACTAATACTACTACTACTACTACTACTACTACTACTACTACTACTACTACTACTACTACTACTACTACTACTACTACGACCCCATCCAGGAGTTCGGATGCAACTCCTGGGAGGTCAAATCCAGACTTTGCCCTGGTGCGACATCCAGACTTTGCGCTGGATCCGGTTTCATCCCAATCATGCTGGCTGCTATAGTCCCGTTTCATCCGCGGCCCAATCCGGCGCAGCAGCCCGACAGTGAGGCTCAATTCTCTTTCCACTTTCCGACGAAGGCCTCCCAGTACAGTTGCCTCCCCCCCCGAGGCCCCCCACCCAGGCCCCTCCTCCTCCCTGTCCTCCTCCTCCTCCTCCTCCTCCTTTTCCTCCTCCTCCTCCTCCTCCTCCTCCTCCTCCTCCTCCTCCTCCTCCTCCTCCTCCTCCTCCTCCTCCCCCTCCTCCCCCCCCGAGGCCCCTCCTGGCCGCCTTCGCGACGCTGCCGCCCTCTGCTCGCCCAGCCTCCGGCGGCGCGGGGCGGCCGCGCTCGGCGCGCGGCGTCTCCGGCGCCCCGGCGGAGGGCGGCGTGGACCTGCCGCCGGGCAGCCCGCGCGGGCTGCGCGAGGCGGGCGGGGCTGCAGCCTCCCGTCGAGGGGGGGGGGGGCGGGGGAGCAGCGACACCAGCACCACCTCCAGCGAGGAGGCCGAGGATGCCTCCCTGAGCAATGGGGGCTATTGGGGACGTCTCGAGCGAGAGGGGGGGGCCACACCACCAGGGGGGCCACCCCTGGCTCCTCGCGCTTGTGGTCCCTGGTGGTGTTGGTGTCGCTTTTCGTCGCTCCCAGTCATGACAAGGGGGTGTTTGTCATCCGCGGCCTCGGGGGGCCCTTGCCAGGCCTCGGGGCCGTCGAAAAACGACTCGGGACGAAAAACTTGTCCTGGGAATGGGTCGAGGGGGGGATGAGGGGGGGATGGGGGGGGGGATGGTCAGGGGTCTGGACAGGATGGGGTCTGGGGAGGATGGTCGGGGGAGAAGCTCGGGGGTGGAAAAGGGTACCCCAAGCCGCTACTCTTGCCTCGTTCGTGGTCCCTGTTGGGCCTCCTGGGAGGCCCTCGTTGCCACCGCTGGCCTACAAATTTTGGCCAGAACGCCTCCCGGGAGAGGTCCGGGGAGCAGCGGTATCGGTACCTTTTGGTTTCCCCAGCAGAGCCATGGAGGTGTACGGCCGGACGGAAATATAAGATTGAGGTCGGTCTGGGGAGGGTGCACTAATGTTCTTCGTGTTTGTTGTGTGTTCTTGTGCATCCTGGGGGAGGGTACCCTCGGCGATCTTCTGGTTTGGGGCGTTCTGGCCGACGGACGGTCTCATGTTCTTGAAGGATGTTTGTTTGTCCTGGGTCTTGGCCGTATTGACATGGGGGGTGGGTAGGAGAGGACTGGGAGGAGGACTCAGGAGGAGAAGACTCTATGGGAGGCGAGAAGGGGACTCTGGGAGGAGAGGTCGGAGGAGAGGAGGGAGGAGAGGAGAGGACTCTCGGAGGACTGTCGGAAGGGGAGGGCTCCGGGAGGGGAGGCGGGAAGCGGGCCATCCGCAGCCGGGGGTCTTTGTTTTTGCCCCCCCCCCCCCGCCCGAGCCGCCTGCCTGCCGCTGCCGCTTGCCTGCCGCTGCTGCTGGGAGGCCTTGGCCCCGATCGCTCGGGCCGGCTCGGGGCTCGGCGGGGCAGGGGCCGTGCTTCCCTGGGGCTCTGGCGAGCGCGCTGGCGCGGCGAGGGGAGGGGGCGGTGGGCGTGGCGAGCCCCGAGCACCGGCTTAAACGGGCGGCACGCTGCGAGAAACATTCCGCTGCAACAGGGCACGGCGTTCAGGAGGGGAAAAATCACGCAGGCACAATTCATCGTCGACCCCGGGAAAATATGGTAAAACATGGGAGGGGGGGAGATGAAGACCCAGAGGATATAAGAAAATATTGGGAATCCTGGGAGTTGTGACTATTTATTTGTGTGTCCCTGGGCCCCCTTGAGGCGTGTCGGACGTCGGTGTCCTCGAGCCTCTTACCGCTGCCGCTGTCCCGCCGCTGCTGCTGGCAGGCCTTGGCCCAGATTGCTCGAACTGGCTCGGGCGCTCGGGGTTCGGCGGGAAAGGGGCCGTTGTTCCTTTAGACTCTGGCGAGCGACTTTGCATGAGGGGGAGGGGGGGGGGTTGGCGTGGCGAGGCCCGAAAGGAGTTCTAGAGTTCAAGCAAGCCTGGCCTCGTTTGCATGCCTTCTCGGCCCAGCGTTTCTCGAAAAGGCGGCGGAGGAGGGGGGCAGGGACTGCCATGCACGTAAACTCGTTCTGGTTCTTGAGGACATCGCCCTCCTGAGGTCCTGGTGTAGCAATGTTTGCGGGCTGCGCGAGGCCGTTGTGGGGATGTTCGGGGAGAAAGGAGGTCGAATAAGAGAAAATGGCATACACATACATAGCAAGGTCCGCGCGGATTCTTGAATTTGCAAGGAACCTCTCTGGCGGGTCCTCCGGCGACGCCTCAGGTGCGCTCCGCGATGCGGGCGTGGTAGGGGACCAGCTCTCCAGCGACAGGGCTCTCTCCCGCTCCCCGCCTGCTGTCTTCGCCTGGCCCCACCTCCGCCTGCCCGCCCGCCCCGCCGGCCCTGGCCTCCCGCCTGCGCGTTCGTCGTCTTTTGCCTGCTTCTCCCCTCCTCGTCCCCTTCCGCTGGGCAGCACGGCCTGCCCGGGACCAGCGTGGCGGCGTGCGGGGCTTCGGCCGACGGCAGATTCGTGGCATCCCACTGGCGGTGCTTGATTCTCCGATATCGCAGCCCTCGGGGCCCGCGCAGCAGAGACGCGTCCCGGACGAGATCTGGGGAGCACGATGTCCCGACATGCTCCGCGAGGCGGGCGGTCGGGTTCTAGGCTTCCCAGGTGGGGTCGGAGCAGATGGGCTCAGAGGATCGCGCCGCATCGCTGATGCATCGGCGATGCGGCTCGATGTGGAGCCTGATTCTCTCCATGCTGGCGTCGCCGATGCATCGCCGATGCATCGCCGATGCGGCGCGATCCTCCGACCCCATCTGCGCAGACCCCATCTAGCAGGCTTTTAGTGGGATGGGCGGGAGAGGAAAGGAATACTGATAAGGCTTCCGGCTGTGCCTCGACAGCCCCATCCCAGGGTGGTCCCAGCTGGCCTCTGTAGGCCCCCCCCGCTGCGCAGTGCGAGCTGGCCTCCACAGGCCCCTTTGAGTAATCTCGGCCTCAACAGAAAGCCACTCCAGCAGAGCACCCGAACAGCAGCAAAGGTAAAGAGGTGGGGTCGAGGAGTGAGTGAGAGCACGGACATGTGCACCATAGCGGAAATTGTTGAAGGCATCGTGGCTAAACATACACTTCATATGGTGCACATGGCCGCGCTCTCACCCCTGTCACGCGCAGGAGTCGCCGACGACGCACTCGTCGACCTGCCTCTTCACCTTTGTTGCTATTCGAATGCTTCGCTCGGGTAGTGGACCATCTTCGGGCCTCCAGGGGCTTCTGGAGTCAAAGTGGCTCGAATGGCTTTTGGAAACATGCTACTGCGGACGATGTTGATGATGGCGATGCTAATGTGAGAATGGTGATGGTCATGGTATTGGTGATGATGGTTTGATCACGAAGGTTGAAGACAGTGAGGATGGCGATGTTGACTACAGGGGGAATTAGATTGAGATGCCGGTGAGGATGATGGGGGACAATAAGGATGGGGATGACGATGATGATGATGAGGAGGAGAAGGAGGAGGATTAGGAGGACGATGATGGTCCAGATCTCATGATCTGGGTGGTGATGACGCTTATGGCGCGGTGATGGTTGTGGTGACTGTTTGATAACCACGAGGGAGATGAGGGAGGGGGAAGGGCTGGGGAGGCATGAGGAGGGGTAGGAGGAGGAGATCAGGATGAGGAGCCCGAGGCGGAGGAGGAGGGGCAGACCCCAAAGGATGAGTAGGTGGAGGCAGTTCCACGAGGCAGGGGGGGCAACTCACAGTACTCCGGTCTACTTGGCGTGGGGCAGGGCGAGCAAGCTGCTAAGTTTTAGCGACTTCCTCCTCATCTTGTAATGCCGTCTGCCTTCCGTCTCCTCTCCCCCTTCCTCGAGCTTCTTCTGTTCCCCCTCTCCGTTTTTATCCTGATCTCACTCCTATTGCGCCCGACCTTCTCCGCATCCTCCATTACCTCCTCGTCTGGAACGGGACGATCAGTAAGAGTAAGAGCATGAGGAATCAGTGTGATTTGGATGATGTTAGTCCGCCATCAAACTGTGTGCATGCTGTTGCCGACATGAGTTATGCGAATGCTCAGGCATATACTTGTGATGGTGATGGTCAGAACCAGGAGGAGGAGGAGGAGGAGGAGGAGGAGGAGGAGGAGCATGTGGATGAGGTGAAGTGCGGGATAGAGGCGGATGGTGATGACTACGATTATGATCAGGAGCAGCAAGAGAAACCGGGCACACCCAGGATTCATCCAGAATGTTGCAACGTACCTTGCCGTCCCAAGTGCTTCTTCACAAGAACGTGCAATATTTCCCACCCATCCTGAGGTGTTGGGTCCTCGTCTTGAAGAGACAATCCCCGCGTCTCCTTCTCCCTCTGCTGCTCCTCCTCCCCCTCCCCCCCTCCTCCCGTCACCACCCTCACTTTGGCATGCCCCTTACACGTTTCGTGGCCCCATAGGGAGTTCCACCGAAGGCCCCAGTGGCACGGCTGCCATGCCGTCCCCCCTCCATTTTGGCACACACCTCACACGCTTCGTGGCCCCATGGGGGGCTCCACCGAAGGCCCCAGAGGCATGGTTCGCATGCCGCCCCCGCGCCACTTTGGCACACCCCTCACAGGTTTCGTGGCCACATAGGGAGCTCCACCGAGGTCCCCATTCGCATGCCGCCTCCCCTCCATTTTGGCACAGCCCTCACACATTTCGTGGCCCCATGGGGAGCTCCCCCGAAGGCCACAACGGCATGGTTCGCATGCCGCCCCCGTGCAATATGGCACACACCTCAGGCGTTTCGCTGCCCCACACGGAGTTCCACTGAAGGCCCCCAGTGGCATAGTTCGCGTACGGCTCCCCCTTCATTTTGGCACACTCCTCACACGCTTCGTGGCCCCATCGGCAGCTCCACCGAAGGCCCCAGTGGCGGTGTTGCTGTGCGTTTCCCCTCACCCAATACAACGTTTCGGGGCCCTTTAGGGAGCTCCATCGACGGCTCCAGTGGCGGTGTTCGCACGCGTTTCATGGCCCCACACGGGTCTCCGCCGAAGGCCCCAGTGGCGGTGTTCGCATGCGTTTTCCCTCACCCAGTACAGCGCATCGTGGCCCCATCGACAGCTCCACCGAAGGCCCCAGTGGCGGTGTTCGCCTGCGTTTCCCCGCCCCAATACAACTAACTCTCCGTGGCTCCGTAGGGAGCTCCACCGACGGCCCCAGTGGCGGGCGGTGTTCGCGTGCGTTCCCCCCACCCAGTACAGCGCTTCACGGCCCCAAAGGGGAGCTCCGCCGAAGGCCCCAGTGGTGGCTTTCGCGTGCGTTTCCACACCCAGTACAGCGCTTCATGGCCCCAAAGAGAGCTC